AACGCATGTCAAAAATGTTCTAAATTGAGTTGCATGTTAATTTGACCCCCTCTCATTCAGAAAGATTTCTGGCTCCCAGGTGTCTTTTATATAGGTAACGAGCTGAGATTAGGAGCACACTCTTAAAGGGAGTGCTCCTAATCTCAGCTTGTTACCTGTATAAAAGACACCTGTCCACAGAAGCAATCAATCAATTAGATTCCAAACTCTCCACCATTGCCAAGACCAAAGAGCTCTCCAAGGATGTCAGGGACAAGATTGTAGACCTACACAAGGCTGGAATTGGCTACAAGACCATTTTCAAGCAGCTTGGTTAGAAGGTGACAACAGTTGGTGCGATTATTCGCAAATGGAAGAAACACAAAAGAACTGTCAATTTCCCTCGGCCTGGGGCTCCATGCAAGATCTCACCTCGTGGAGTTGCAATAATCATGAGAACGGTGAGGAATCAGCCCAGAACTACACGGGAGGATCTTGTCAATGATCTCAAGGCAGCTGGGACCATAGTCACCAAGAAAACAATTGGGAACACACTACCTCGTGAAGGACTGAAATCCTGCAGCACCCGCAAGGTCCCCCTGCTCAAGAAAGCACATATACATGCCCGTCTGAAGTTTGCCAATGAACATCTGAATGATTCAGAGGACAACTGGGTGAAAGTGTTGTGGTCAGATGAGACCAAAATGGAGCTCTTTGGTATCAGCTCAACTCGCCGTGTTTGGAGGAGGAGGAATGCTGCCTATGACCCCAAGAACACGATCCCCACCGTCAAACATGGAGGTGTAAACATTATGCTTTGGGGGTGTTTTTCTGCTAAGGGGACAGGACAACTTCACCGCATCAAAGGGACGATGGACGGGGCCATGTACCGTCAAATCTTGGGTGAGAACCTCCTTCCCTCAGCCAGGGCATTGAAAATGGGTCGTGGATGGGTATTCCAGCATGACAATGACCCAAAACACACGGCCAAGGCAACAAAGGAGTAGCTCAAGAAGAAGCCCATTAAGGTCCTGGAGTGGCCTCGCCAGTCTCCAGACCTTAATCCCATAGAAAGTCTGTGGAGGGAGCTGAAGGTTCGAGTTGCCAAACGTCAGCCTCGAAACCTTAATGACTTGGAGAAGATCTGCAAAGAGGAGTGGGACAAAATCCCTCCTGAGATGTGCAAACCTGGTGGCCAACTACAAGAAACGTCTGACCTCTGTGATTGCCAACAAGGGTTTTGCCACCACGTACTAAGTCATGTTTTGCAGAGGGGTCAAATACTTATTTCCCTCATTAAAATGCAAATCAATTTATAACATTTTTGACATGCGTTTTTCTGGATTTTGTTGTTGTTATCCTGTCTCTCACTGTTCAAATAAACCTACCATTAAAATTATAGACTGATCATTTCTTTGTCAGTGGGCAAACGTACAAAATCAGCAGGGGATCAAATACTTTTTTTCCCTCACTGTATAACAGCAGTTTACAACGTCGCATATCAGACCGTCGCGTATCCACGCCGACCAGTTCACCGAACCCACACGCAGTTGCGGTGCATGTGGGGAGCGGTAGTGCAGCGGTTAGCGCGCTGCGCTACAAACCCGGCGGCACGAGTTCGATCCTGGGCCTCCCCTAGGTCGACTCAGCCTCAAATGAGTACCCGGTGCAGTGTGTGGACATCGCCACTGGAGAGACAATGGCGGCCGGGCCACCCGCCCCCTCGTGTGCCGTGCCGGCCTTCATAGGTGCTCGCTAACAGCACTTGCCCCTACAGTCTGTTTTAGGCTACACGGGGGATCTTTGTCTTTGTGTGAGCGTGCGGTGCCTGTGGAGAGGTAGAAGCAGACAGAGTGGCGAGGGCGCTCGCTCCGTGGATCCGATCTATTTTGTCGCCCGTTGTGGAATCTGCGCGATGCCACCCGTGCCACCCGTGCCACCCGTGCCACCCGTGCCATCCACGCCATCTGTGCCACCCGTGCCACCCGTGCCACCCGTGCCATCCGTGCCACCCGTGCCATCCACGCCGCACGGACCTCTGCCTCTGCTACATCTGCTGCCTCTGCTGCCGCTGCCTCCTCCGCTGCTGCTGCTGCTGGGAGCCAGCCCCTCTTCCTGCGCTACGGATGATGACACCTCGAACCCTGCACCGCTTTGGGGGGGGGGGGGGGGGGGGGGGGGGGGTCTGGGTTTGAGTCGATGAACGTCGCCATTCGCTCTAAACTAAAACTATTTAAACTAAAAAAAACAATTATTTTGCCCAGGTAAGGCCCCACGCTGAGATATGTAGTTGCTCTCTGTTTTTTTTTCCCAGGAGCGACCATGAATGATAGCCCAATTAAGTGGTGGGCTGATCATCATCGTCGTCACGTGGGCATCTATAGTAGCGGCCAAAAAATACCACGTGATGTTGTTTCTAACTGTGGAAGGAAAAACCGGAGGACCCGGAGAAAAATCCACACGACCACGGGGAGAGAGACACTGCAAACTCCAAATATAGAGCAGGCGTGAGGGTTGGGAATGAACTGACGACTCCGAACCCAACCCGGTCTTCAACTCAGGCTGACGATGAGACCCGGTCTCCCTGAGTCTCAACCCGAACTCTGACCCTGAGACCCGGTCTCCCTAAGTTTCAAATGGACTCCAATCCTGAGACCCGGTCTCCATGAGTCTCAACCCAGACTCTTGACCCCGAGACCCGGTCTCACTTAGTGTCAATTAGACTCCAATCCTGAGACCCGGTCTCCCCGAGTCTCACCCCAGACTCTGACCCTGAGACCCGGTCTCCCCGAGTCTCAACCCAGACTCTGACCCTGAGACCCGGTCTCACTTAGTCTCAATTAGACTCTAATCCTGAGACCCGGTCTCCCCGAGTCTCACCGCAGACTCTGACCCTGAGACCCGGTCTCACTTAGTCTCAATTAGACTCTAATCCTGAGACCCGGTCTCCCCGAGTCTCAACCCAGACTCTGACCCTGAGACCCGGTCTCACTTAGTGTCAATTAGACTCCAATCCTGAGACCTGGTCTCCCCGAGTCTCAACCCAGACTCTGACCCTGAGACCCGGTCTCACTTAGTGTCAATTAGACTCCAATCCTGAGACCTGGTCTCCCCGAGTCTCACCCCAGACTCTGACCCTGAGACCCGGTCTCCATGAGTCTCAACCCAGACTCTTGACCCCGAGACCCGGTCTCACTTAGTCGCAATTAGACTCTAATCCTGAGACCCGGTCTCCCCGAGTCTCAACCCAGACTCTGACCCTGAGACCCGGTCTCTATGAGTCTCACCCCAGACTCTGACCCTGAGACCCGGTCTCACTTAGTCTCAATTAGACTCTAATCCTGAGACCCGGTCTCCCTGAGTCTCACCCCAGACTCAGACCCTGAGACCCGGTCTCACTTAGTCTCAATTAGACTCCAATCCTGAGACCCGGTCTCCCCGAGTCTCACCCCAGACTCTGACCCTGAGACCCGGTCTCCCTAAGTTTCAAATGGACTCTAATCCTGAGACCCGGTCTCCATGAGTCTCAACCCAGACTCTGACCCTGAGACCCGGTCTCCCTGAGTCTCGTTCAGGACTCCGAACCTGAGGCCCAGTCTCCTCCCCAGTCCAAGCCTCAAGACATCAATCTTGGAAGAAGAAGAAGGAGGAGGAGAAGGGGAAGAAGGACAAGGAGGAGAATCGTCATCATCCGTTCTCGCGTCGCCGTGGCTTGAAAGCGCCGAGCGTGACCGCCTCCAGGGGGGGAGGGGGTGACCTGGGCGGCCAAAATAAAAAAAAAGTTTTAAAATAAAATGAAAAGTCAGTGTCCAAGGGCAGCGGAGGATTATAAATATACTCGTTGTCGGCATGACGGCACACGCCCCGGCATTCCTGCGCTCCGCCAGAGCGGCCGACTCCGGCCCTGGCTGCCAACGGAGTTCTCATTTATATTTAAACCGGGCCGTGCATGGCGGCCACAGGCGGGCCACAAACAACGGCACGCCAATGACGGCGGCAACGGCGCATCTGTCGCACATCTGACAAAGAGCTTTGTAGCTCTTCGGATTCCTGTGATTTTTGCACACAGCGTTGGTATGCGGTGCTTTTATGTTGTAGATGTTTGCCGGTTCTTTCCAGGATTTTTTCTGTTTGCTGCTTAGTCACCGCAGGATGTTCTTTGTTCATGTTTTTGTTTGTTGAGGTTGCACCCGAATCAACGGCCGCATGGCTCACAGGGTTATACCTCATAAATGAAACTGAAAACTCCGGCACGAATTCAGTCTCCCGGCCCTTCCCTCCGACTCTTTGTTGGCTTCATGTCCAGCGCGGCGCCGGTGGCGGCACAGCCAGCGGCTCCTGGCGCTCGGGAGGTCGAGAGTTCAACTCCCGGTTGGGTGGGTCAGGGAGAGGAAGAGGGTTAGAGAGAGGGTGAGGAAGAGGGTGAGGAAGAGGGTTGGCGAGAGACACCGAGGGAGAATGAATGCGGTGCAGCGGTCGTGGTGAAGCCGTTCGTGCGGCCGGGCCATTGAGTGGATCGCAGCGGTCGGAAGGTCAAGAGTTCACCTCCTGGTCGCGTGAGGTGGGGGGTGGGGAGTGGGGGGTTGACGCAGCCCATCATCACTGCCAGACGGGCGTGGTGCTGGCCACCCAACCCCCCGGCCTTCATAGGTGCTGCTGCTACTCGCTAACAGCACTTGTCCCAACAGTTTGTTAAGGCTACACGGGGGATCTTTGTCTTTGGTTGTGCGTTAACTGCTTACCCTGTTCCCCTGTGTGTCTGTATGTGTGTCTGTGTGTGTCTGTCTGTGTGGGTGTCTGTATGTCTGTGTGTGTGGGTGTGTGTGTCTGTGTGTGTGGGTGTGTGTGTCTGTGTGTGTGTCTGTGTGTGTGTCCGTGTGTGTGGGTGTCTGTGTGTGTGTGTCTGTGTGTGTGTGGGTGTCTGTGTCTGTGTGTGTCTGTATGTGTGTCTGTGTGTGTCTGTGTGTGTGGGTGTCTGTGTGTGTGTGTCTGTCTGTGTGTGTGTGTCTGTGTGTACACAGGCTGCATGCTGTGTCTCGGACAGTGGAACTTCTTCCGTTTCAATCATCCGGACGAGGCGGTGAGAATCCGCAGCATGCTGGCCCCGTCGGCGAACCCGCCTGCCGCCCCGTCACGTACGTCAACAACAACAACAAAAATAACATTAACAATAACAACAGCAACAATAACACCAATCACACCAACAACAATAAGAGCAATCACAAGAACAACAATAACACCAACAACGTCAACAACAATAACAACAATAACACAAACAACAACAATAATAATAACAACACCAACAACGTCAACAACAACACCAACAATAACGACAACGTCAACAACAACGTCAATAACAACACCATCAATACCATTCGCGTCATTGCTATCATTGTCATCATCATCACCATGTGTTGAGTGTGCATGTGTGTGTGTGTGTGCGTGCACATACGTGCGCATGTGTGCGTGCGTGCTTGTGTGTACGGGCGCGTGCGTTTGTGGGTGCATGTGCGTGCGTGTGCGCGTGTGCGTGCCTGTTTGTGTGTGTGCGTGCGTGTCTGTGCGTATGTGCGTGTGTGTGTGGGTGCGTTGTGAGGAGCGATAGTGTAGCAGTTAGCCTGCTGTGCTATGAACCTGGCGACCCGAGTTCGATTCCCGCTCACGGCCAACACCGGTGACGATTATCTGAACCGGTCCTGGGCCCTCCCTTAGGTCGACTCAGCCTCAAATGAGTACCCGGTGCGGTTTGTAGTAAACGTCGCTACTGGGGGAGACAAAGGCGGCCGGGGCGTGGCGCTGGCCACCTCGTGCGCCGTGCCGGCCTTCACAGCTGCTGCTCGCCAGCAGCACTTGCCCCAACAGTCTGTTGAGGCTACACCGGGGGGCGGGGGGTGATGAGGGAGGGTTGGGGGAACCTTTTTCTTTGCCTTTGCCGCGTGCGAGCAGACGCCATGAGCTCGGTGAACGGCAACGACCCCCGGCGCAGGGACGGGGCGCCGGCAGGGCGGGCCGGCGCTCGAGACAAACTCCTCAACGCCTGCTCCATCGAGCAGGACCTGCAGGTGAAGACGCCGTTTATTTGAACACGTAGGAGGCTTCCGCCTGGTCGCTGACGGGAAACATGCCGTCCGTTAGGCCAGTGGTTCTCCTTGTGAGCCTGTGGCTGCGTGCTGTACCCCCTGGGGGTGTGAGATGCCCTTTCTGGGGGGGGGGGGGGGGCGGTGGGGGATGGTGAGACGTGGCCAGATTTTTGTTTTAGAAGGTAAATAATCGACAATGCAAATGAATCCACAGGGCACGCCAGCAGTACTTCTTAATTTGTTTCATCAACCTCTGTGTGTTTTCACCCGTAGGAGGAGGCTTTCGCGACTAATATCATCCATAAGAGGTTTTGGGGTTAAATCGTGTGAATACGTAAAAGTGTCGTTAAAGCCGCCACCACCCGACACAGCCAATTAGTAACGTCGCCTGATGGAGCTGGTTGTAATTACTGACGAAACGTCGCACTCAGACTGTAAATGTTGTGGCTTTGCTATCCAACGCACCGGTTAGAGCTGTACTAGTGACGAATTGGCCGCGTTCTGTTTACGTGACAAACCCGCACTAGTTGGCTGTCGTGTGGCGGGGGATTTGACGACACTTTTTAAATATTTACGTGACCTAACCCAAAAAAAAAACACTGTGTTGTGGAAGTTGCCTCTATTTGATACGAGTTTACTTGACGGTGATGTTGGTGATGATTATGATGATGACGATCATTAATTCATAATCGTTATTGTTATTATTTTAACTCCGGCTGTGGCAGAGTGCACGCGCGGTCCCGTCGATCGCTGGCACGGTACCCGCTCACTCGAAATCTGGCACCACCGCCCCCCTCGCCACCACCCCCCCCCCCGCCACCACCCACCCCTCCCACACCGCCAGGACATCATCGACTCGCTCACGCTGGAAAGCAACACAGCCGCCGGCGCCCCGCTCACGCCGGCCTCCTTCGCCAGCGTCGCCTCCGCTCCGGAGAACGGCAACAACAACCGGCAGCAGCCGCAGCCCCGCGGCGTGCCGTGCTCCCCTCCCTCGAGCCCGGGCCGCGTCTCCCTCTCCGGCTCGTGCTACGACAACCTGGCGTCCGCCTCGTCGTCGCCATCGTCGTCAACGTCGTCCAACGACAACCGCGGCACGCCGCCCGTGCCCGCCCGCTCCTCCAGCTACAACTTCACTTCGCAGCGCTCCGCCAACGGCTTCCGCGCCGCCGCCGCCGCCGCCGCCGCGGCGACGGCGACGCCGGCGGCGCCGGCCGCCGGGGCCGAAAGCCCCCGCGCGCCGAGGCGACGGATCCGGGACGCGCCCACGGAGCGGCCTCACCTGGCGCACGCCAAACCCAGCCAGGGCGGCGGTGCCGACGCCGCGGCGGCCTGCTTCCCAGGCTTCTCGCCGGAGGGCCCGCCGAGCCCGAGGCTGCCCAGGGTTTCTCCGGAGAGGGGCGGGGGGGCGGCCACGGCGGCCGGGCCCGTGCCACTCTCCCCGCGGGCGGCGAGGAGATCGGCGACCCCGCCTGCCAGCCCGGAGGCCTCGCGCCGCGGCTGCTTCCCCATCTCCCTCGCCTCCCCGCAGGGTCCCTCGAGGTGGCAGCAGCAGCAGCAGCCGCCGCACTCGCCGTCGTCGGCAAGAAGACTCGTGGCGCGCGGTGGCGGTGGCGGATCCTCGGAAGGCCGCTCTCCGACGTTGGGCGTCCAGAGCGACCAGCGTTGGGGTCAGCCTCAGGCGAAGCCCGCGGCCGTAGGCCCCGACGGGTCCCCTCGCTCCCCGCTCAGCCCTGATTACGGCCACCACCAGCAGCAGCAGCAGCGGCGCCCCCTGGACGCGCTGCCTCCTCTGAGCCCGAAGTCGAGCCGCAAGGCCGCGGCTTCGCCGGCGCTGGCCGGGCCAGAGTCGTGCCCCTCGGTCGGCAAACGCCTCGGAGGTGTCTTCACCAGTCCGGCGTTCGTACGGCGGTCCAGCGGAGGTGTTGGTGGTGGTGCTGGTGGTGATAGTGGCGGCGGTGCACGAGAAGGCCTCGTTATTTTCGACCACGAATTCGGTGCCGCCGCGGCGGCGGCGTCGTCGTCGCCCTCGGGCCCGCCGGGCGGCTCTTTCAGCGTCGCGACCAAGGTTAAGATCCCGGCGTCAACAACAACAACAACAGCAGCGGCGGCGGCGGCGTCAACAACGACGACGACGACCACCACGCCACCCGTGCCGCGGTCTCCCTGCCGGAGCCCCGGGCTGCAGCGCAGGCGACCGCCGGCGCCGCCCTCGCCGAATCTGTCGTCGAGTCTGACGATGACGATGAGGTCGCCCGCCGCAACCCCCGCAACCTCACCGATCGCCGCCGCCGCCGCCGCCGCGAAGCCGGACGGGGGGCGGCCGTCGGCCCTCGATCGTTCCGCCGGTTCGGATTCCGAGCGGGATTTCCCGCCGGAGGAGGAGGAGGAGGTGGTGGTGGATGACGGGGGGAAGGCGGCGGCGGCGGCGGCGGCGCCGGCGGCGCCGGCGTCTCCGCCGCGCTTGCGGGAGCGCAAGGGCAGCATCTCGGAGATCCGCGGCGGGGACGAGTCGGAGCTGCGCCAGTACCACCGCAGGCACCGCGACGAGCGACTCCGCGAGCAGGAGACGGAGCGCCTGGTGAGAGCCGTCGCACCGTCGCTGCACGCGCGCCACATTTGTATTGGTTGTATTCGTGGCAACGCTCGCCACATTTGTATTGGTTGTATTCGTGGCAACGCTCGCCACATTTGTATTGGTTGTATTCGTGGCAACGCTCGCCACATTTGTATTGGTTGTATTCGTGGCAACGCTCGCCACATTTGTATTGGTTGTATTCGTGGCAACGCTCGCCACATTTGTATTGGTTGTATTCGTGGCAACGCTCGCCACATTTGTATTGGTTGTATTCGTGGCAACGCTCGCCACATTTGTATTGGTTGTATTCGTGGCAACGCTCGCCACATTTGTATTGGTTGTATTCGTGGCAACGCGCGCCACATTTGTATTGGTTGTATTCGTGGCAACGCGCGCCACATTTGTATTGGTTGTATTCGTGGCAACGCGCGCCACATTTGTATTGGTTGTATTCGTGGCAACGCGCGCCACATTTGTATTGGTTGTATTCGTGGCAACGCTCGCCACATTTGTATTGGTTGTATTCGTGGCAACGCGCGCCACATTTGTATTGGTTGTATTCGTGGCAACGCGCGCCACATTTGTATTGGTTGTATTCGTGGCAACGCGCGCCACATTTGTATTGGTTGTATTCGTGGCAACGCTCGCCACATTTGTATTGGTTGTATTCGTGGCAACGCGCGCCACATTTGTATTGGTTGTATTCGTGGCAACGCTCGCCACATTTGTATTGGTTGTATTCGTGGCAACGCTCGCCACATTTGTATTGGTTGTATTCGTGGCAACGCACGCCACATTTGTATTGGTTGTATTCGTGTCAACGCTCGCCACATTTGTATTGGTTGTATTCGTGGCAACGCGCGCCACATTTGTATTGGTTGTATTCGTGGCAACGCTCGCCACATTTGTATTGGTTGTATTCGTGGCAACGCGCGCCACATTTGTATTGGTTGTATTTGTGGCAACGCGCGCCACATTTGTATTGGTTGTATTCGTGGCAACGCGCGCCACATTTGTATTGGTTGTATTCGTGGCAACGCGCGCCACATTTGTATTGGTTGTATTCGTGGCAACGCGCGCCACATTTGTATTGGTTGTATTCGTGGCAACGCTCGCCACATTTGTATTGGTTGTATTCGTGGCAACGCGCGCCACATTTGTATTGGTTGTATTCGTGGCAACGCGCGCCACATTTGTATTGGTTGTATTCGTGGCAACGCTCGCCACATTTGTATTGGTTGTATTCATGGCAACGCGCGCCACATTTGTATTGGTTGTATTCGTGGCAACGCGCGCCACATTTGTATTGGTTGTATTCGTGGCAACGCACACCACATTTGTATTGGTTGTATTCGTGGCAACGCGCGCCACATTTGTATTGGTTGTATTCGTGGCAACGCTCGCCACATTTGTATTGGTTGTATTCGTGGCAACGCGCGCCACATTTGTATTGGTTGTATTCGTGGCAACGCGCGCCACATTTGTATTGGTTGTATTCGTGGCAACGCGCGCCACATTTGTATTGGTTGTATTCGTGGCAACGCGCGCCACATTTGTATTGGTTGTATTCGTGGCAACGCGCGCCTCGGTGGCACAGCGGTTGACGCGGCCCGCCGACAAGCCCGGCGCGCCGCGTTCGGTTTGTCTGGCCGCGGCCAACGTCGGTGGCAGCGAGCGATGCCTCGGCCGGTTCCGTGACGATCTTTGGTGGGGCCGTGATGGTTCTGTGATGGTGCTTGGTTGGTCCGTGATGGTCCGTGATGGTCCGTGATGGTCCGTGATGGTCCGTGATGGTTCAGGGATGGTCCGAGATGGTCTTTGATGATTACGTGATGGTTCCGTGATGGGTCCGTGATGGTCTTTGATAGTCCGTGATGGTCTTTCATGATTATATGATGGGTCCGTGATGGTCTTTGATGGTGCCTTGGTGTCTGGCTCTCGGATGGATGCGGTTGGGCCAACCGAAAACCCCTCCAGCGGATATGAATCTGCTGGCTGGTAAAGCTGTAGGGGTTTCATATCTTCCTCTCTCTCCCCCTCTCTCTCGCACACTCACTCGCAGATGTGTGGCCAGATGTGATCAGTGGCAGGAGGGGAGAGTGTGCACGTGTGTGTGTGTGCGTGTGTGCCCATGTGTGCGCGTGGTAGTGTAGCGGTTAGCACGCTGCGCTAAGAACCTGGCGACCCGAGTTCAATTCCTGCTCACGGCCAACACCAGTGGTTATTATCTGAACCGGTCCCGGGCCTCCCCTAGGTCGACTCCGCCTCAAATGAGTACCTTGTGCAGTGGGGATTAAACATCGCCACTGGGGAGACAAAGGCGGTCGGGCGTGGTGTTGGCCACCCACCCGCTTGTGTGCCGTTCCGGCCTTCATAGGTGCTCGCTAACAGCACTTGCCCCTACAGTCTGTTAAGGCTATACAGGGGATCTTTTTTCTCTGTTGTGCCTGTGTGTGTGTATCAGTATTTATGTATGTGTTGTGTATGTGCGTGTGTGTCAGTATGTATGTATGTGTTGTGTCTGTGTGTGTCAGTATTTGTGTATGTGTGTGTCTGTGTGTGTCAGTATTTATGTATGTTGGTTGTGTCTGTATGTGTCAGTATTTATGTATGTGTTGTGTCTGTGTGTCAGTATTTATGTATGTGTTGTGTATGTGTAGCAGTATTTACGTATGTGTTGTGTCTGTGTGTGTCAGTATTTATGTATGTGTTGTGTCTGTGTGTGTCAGTATTTATGTCTGTGTGGCTGTGTGTGTGTCAGTATTTATGTCTGTGTGTCTGTGTGTGTGTCAGTATTTACGTATGTGTTGTGTCTGTGTGTATCAGTATTTATGTATGTGTTGTGTCTGTGTGTGTGTTAGTGTGTGTATGTGTTGTGTCTGTGTGTGTCTGTGTGTGTGTTAGTGTGTGTATGTGTTGTGTCTGTGTGTGTCTGTGTGTGTGTCAGTATTTATGTATGTGTCTGTGTGTGTCTGTGTGTGTGTCAGTATTTATGTATGTGTTGTGTCTGTGTGTCAGTATTTATGTCTGTGTGTGTCTGAGTGTGTGTTAGTGTGTATGTATGTGTTGTGTCTGTGTGTGTGTCTGTGTGTGTGTCAGTATTTATGTATGTGTTGTGTCTGTGTGTCAGTATTTATGTATGTGTTGTGTCTGTGTGTCAGTATTTATGTCTGTGTGTGTCTGAGTGTGTGTCAGTGTGTATGTATGTGTTGTGTCTGTGTGTGTCTGTGTGTGTGTCAATATTTATGTATGTGCTGTGTCTGTGTGTCTGTGTGTGTCAGTATTTATGTATGTGTTGTGTCTGTGTGTCAGTATTTATGTCTGTGTGTGTCTGAGTGTGTGTCAGTGTGTATGTATGTGTTGTGTCTGTGTGTGTCTGTGTGTGTGTCAGTATTTATGTATGTGTTGTGTCTGTGTGTGTGTTAGTGTGTGTATGTGTTGTGTCTGTGTGTGTCTGTGTGTGTGTTAGTGTGTGTATGTGTTGTGTCTGTGTGTGTCTGTGTGTGTGTCAGTATTTATGTATGTGTCTGTGTGTGTCTGTGTGTGTGTCAGTATTTATGTATGTGTTGTGTCTGTGTGTGTGTCTGTGTGTGTGTCAGTATTTATGTATGTGTTGTGTCTGTGTGTGTCTGTGTGTGTGTCAGTATTTATGTCTGTGTGTGTCTGTGTGTGTGTCAGTATTTATGTATGTGCTGTGTCTGTGTGTGTCTGTGTGTGTGTCAGTATTTATGTATGTGTTGTGTCTGTGTGTCAGTATTTATGTCTGTGTGTGTCTGAGTGTGTGTGTTAGTGTGTATGTATGTGTTGTGTCTGTGTGTGTGTCTGTGTGTGTGTCAGTATTTATGTATGTGTTGTGTCTGTGTCAGTATTTATGTATATGTTGTGTCTGCGTGTCAGTATTTATGTCTGTGTGTGTCTGAGTGTGTGTCAGTGTGTATGTATGTGTTGTGTCTGTGTGTGTCTGTGTGTGTCAATATTTATGTATGTGCTGTGTCTGTGTGTGTCTGTGTGTGTCAGTATTTATGTATGTGTTGTGTCTGTGTGTCAGTATTTATGTCTGTGTGTGTCTGAGTGTGTGTCAGTGTGTATGTATGTGTTGTGTCTGTGTGTGTCTGTGTGTGTGTCAGTATTTATGTATGTGTTGTGTCTGTGTGTGTGTTAGTGTGTGTATGTGTTGTGTCTGTGTGTGTCTGTGTGTGTGTTAGTGTGTGTATGTGTTGTGTCTGTGTGTGTCTGTGTGTGTGTCAGTATTTATGTATGTGTCTGTGTGTGTCTGTGTGTGTGTCAGTATTTATGTCTGTGTGTGTCTGTGTGTGTGTCAGTATTTATGTATGTGCTGTGTCTGTGTGTGTCTGTGTGTGTGTCAGTATTTATGTATGTGTTGTGTCTGTGTGTCAGTATTTATGTCTGTGTGTGTCTGAGTGTGTGTTAGTGTGTATGTATGTATTGTGTCTGTGTGTGTGTCTGTGTGTGTGTCAGTATTTATGTATGTGTTGTGTCTGTGTGTCAGTATTTATGTATGTGTTGTGTCTGTGTGTCAGTATTTATGTCTGTGTGTGTCTGAGTGTGTGTCAGTGTGTATGTATGTGTTGTGTCTGTGTGTGTCTGTGTGTGTCAATATTTATGTATGTGCTGTGTCTGTGTGTGTCTGTGTGTGTCAGTATTTATGTATGTGTTGTGTCTGTGTGTCAGTATTTATGTCTGTGTGTGTCTGAGTGTGTGTCAGTGTGTATGTATGTGTTGTGTCTGTGTGTGTCTGTGTGTGTGTCAGTATTTACGTATGTGGTGTGTCTGTGTGTGTCAGTATTTATGTATGTGTGTGTCTGTGTGTGTGTCAGTATTTATGTCTGTGTGTGTGTCAGTATTTACGTATGTGTTGTGTCTGTGTGTATCAGTATTTATGTATGTTCTGTGTCTGTGTGTGTGTTAGTGTGTGTATGTGTTGTGTCTGTGTGTGTCTGTGTGTGTGTTAGTGTGTGTATGTGTTGTGTCTGTGTGTGTCT